GCATAAGTATAAATGAGCCAGACAAAAACAAGAACACCTATTACTAGCCTTATTTTTCTATTGTAAAATTGGCTCACTTTTCTATCACGTCGGTGTGCACTGATATCTAGTATCTATATTGATAAAGCTAATTTATGAGTGCGCTATTTAAACTTTGTTACATGTAAGAAATTAACGAAACTAACGAACTATATAGACTATGGGCAGGGGCCTGTTTTTTCAAATTAAAAAGCTGAATTTTTCTATGTAGCTTCGTTTCCACAAGATGCCCGACTTTTTCCTCTGTGAAAATTTGGTGATAATCAAAAATTTATTGCTAACAGTAAATTTCTTAGTTTAATCGTAAAATAATGTTGTAACAAATATTAACAATATCAACAATTGTCTTACTAAAAAATGATATGACCATTGTTGTTCCCCAACCCAACTTAATTATTAATCATACAAGTAAGTGGTCATATTGTTCTACAAGTTACATAATAGGTCTTCCCAGACCAACATTTGAAAATTGTCAATTCTATAGTGGCATTTTTTTAAATTTATAATCAGCCAATTTTTTTTGAGTAACTTCGTTTTTTTACGACTCTGCGAAAATGCCCTATCTCAATAGGTAAGAAATTGAGCAGGTGTGAAACACATTTATTTGGTGATAATCAAAAATTTATTACTAATAGTAAATTGCCTAGTTTAATCTTGAAATGATTTTATAACAAATATTAAACAACAATTGTCTTACAAAAAAATGATGTGATCATTGTTGTCCCCAACCCAATTATGTACCATTTACTGGGGCATACGATTTTATCACTAACCAGCTAATTTTTATACCTAATTTTATGAATAATAGTACAATTAGGTGATCATATTGTCCTACAAATTATATAATAGGTTTTCAATGTCTTACAGTTAGAAATTTCGAAATACCAAGTTTGATGAACGCATCTAATTTTTGCCAAAAAAAGAGAAGAGATGAAAAAAATTTCAAAAGAATTTTTTTTATCGAGTAAAGCTTTTCTTAAGGCTCGAAAGCATCATAAACATAAATATTATATTATATTCCGAATAAAACCAAAATATTTGTCTTATATATATGTCCTACTTAAATAAATTTTTATCAAAATTTAATCATAAAAATATTATATTATAATTTCTTTGATATATATTCGCCCATATTAACGTGCAAAATATATATTAAATAGTAAATCGAACCACGTGCTTTTAATTAATTCGACCCTCGTGTTTTTGGCCCTAGTGTGTTTTATTTATTTGACTCGGTTAAATTTATGTTAAAATAAATAAATAAAACATATGTACAATTATTATAAATCACTCTAATTACTAACATTTTATTTAATTAATGTAATTAAATCATTGAACCGTTAAACGAAAGAAAATTGTCACAAATTCTTTAAAAAAAAATTGTTTAATTGCTGTTCATAAATAATAGCAATTGCATTTTTCACGATTAAATATGGCAAATCTCCATGAAATAAATAAATAAATTTTGCTTTTCTTGCATAAAACGAGATATTTACTTAAATAATGTGACATTTATTTTTTATCATATAAAAAAATAAATACCAATTGACTCTTTTACATGTAAGCAATTTTTTGTTTACGATTTTCCAACTTATTTCATCTACCACTCTACCCTTCAAAACACCCCCACCCACCCACTCGTATATTCGTTTATCGATTCGCTTATCAAAAATTGAGATTTTTTTTTCATTTCAACTTATTTCACCTATTTTTATAGATAATTATCATTAACATAATTTTTTTTATGACAAAAATGATCATATCATTTTTTTGTAGGACTATTTTTTTTATTTGTGTTAGTAATAAAAAAGTGCCACCATGGAATCGACAATTTTCAAATGTAGGTCAGATGATATGACTTAATTGTACGATTGTTAATTAAGCTTAGATATAAAAATTTGCTGGTTACTGGTAAATTCGTACATGATTGGGCTGGGAGACAACAATGATCATATAACTTTTTTGTTGGACAATTATTGTTTAATATTTGTTATAAATTCATTTCAAGAGTGAACTAAGAAATTTCATGTTAGTAATAAATTTTTGATTATCACCAAATGAACGTGTTTCACACTAGCTCAATCTCTTAGCTATTACGATCGAAGAAAAAGTTGGGCATGTTGTGGAATCGAAGCTACACGGAAAAATTCAGCTTGTTATAAATAATTTGAAAAGACTATACCTGCGAGACCTCGACCGCTGTGCCATATCGCCGATCCGTTGTTAAGCCCAGAGAACTTATCTTCGGTGGTGAAACACCAGTCAGTTTCGCCGTTTAAGGCGTCCAATCCGCTTCTCCTTTGTTTAATTACGTCTCCCGCTTCCAATATGATGATCTTATACCTCGAGACCTCCGAAAGTTTGTAAGCCAGAGTCAATCCCGCGGTACCGCCCCCCACGATGACAAAGTCATAATCTAGAAATTTGTGGTCGATGCGTTTCTATTGGCTCCAATTGCTTACCTTTGCAATAGCACCCGTGGATAAATAATAAAGAGACAGTAAAGAAAAACATCTTAGGTTAGGTAGTTTTTTGCACTTCCGGTATAGTTTTCGTCGCTTAAATGTGTGTAGCGCTTCTATTTAACGGTTTGTCGGCAACGCTACGTGCTTCCCAGAAGGTTTCGCGTTGGAGTCCGTGGCATTGCACGATTTCGACCCGATATCGTCAACAAACGGGCAGTTTGTTTTAATTTAACGCAAAAATAACATACTCTTCACTTGGTCATAGCGAAATATTTGGCGGGGTTATTAAACGGTGTAGCGTTTGTTGTGGAACGCCTTTATAACCAGCTAGCGGAGTTGTTTGTTAGAGAATTTAAAAAATACCCAATCACCCGGTAAATGCGAATATGTTTTCTTGATATTTTGGAAAGTAGTTGGCATGAATATCGGAAGGTTTTCTTAAAAATTCGTGAGTTTTAATGTCGCGATATTATTCAACGGCAGATGGCGCCGTAATATCTGAAATATTAGGGGGAGTTTTGGAGAAACTTAGATTGAGAAAATTGAGTGGACTGGCACTTTCCGAGTCAGAGGAGTCGTAACAAACCGCGGACGATTTCAAGCTAGTGTTCTAGAGTGGTGTAAATGTAAATATAAATATAAATATACACTGTAATCGAGTGCGGTAGTGTCTCATTGGAAAGATACGTTTCGTCGAGGGTGGGCGGGGAGATTTTCCTTTTTGTGAGTACGAGAATTTGAGAGAATTAAAAAAACTTAAACAATCACTCATTTCAAGTCCATTTCGACCCCTTTAAAGTATACAGATTAACAATGAGTAAGTGCTATATAATTAGTTTTAATAAAAATTTATAGCACTAAATTGTAAAAGGTGTTTTTAAATGAAAATGTTGCCGTAAAATGGAAGGGAGAAATTATTTTTTAGTTTTCGGTTTGGAGTTAGCAAATTTTGATTCAGGAATTGAATCATATGTTCATAATAGTATATTATGCAACAAGCACGAGTTAAAAAGTTTACCGAACGTGTTTCATACTATACTTTTTCTACGATCGTCAGTTTTTGGCTACATTTTCGCAAAACAAAAAGATTGCTCCCGTGCGGTAAAATCCTGGAAATGTTCAAAGTGGCTGGGATTCGTGGGAATTGATACTGACGTGGTAAAGTGACGCTTCCCGCACGCTAGATCGGTGCGTAATTAGGTATTTTACAGACGGGGGTAGAAAAAATACCTTACCGATGTTAGTTGGGGATAGCTGTTACTCATTCCTTTCTTTTTAATAATCTCTAATTCTTTATAGAATGAGTTTTTACTTAAGGGAACAATCTATAGAAAACGGTCATTTTTTGATTAAGCTGGTGATTGAAGGTGTAGAGATAGTATCTGATCTATGATAATTTTTGAAAATCAGGAAAACTCGATCTAAGTTTCAGCTAGTAAAATGGATTGATTGAAGCCCATGGGCAGGACGCAATTTTATCTGTACAATTTATCATTAGCTGGAAAAAGTTTTGATCGAGAACTGTGACTACCAGAGAAACAGGCTAGTAATGTGGACGTTGTTTAATTTTGGTTGTTTCGATGGATCAGCGACTTCCTCGAACGTAGCGCCAAATATGGGAAAAAGTTACCACCCAATCAATTGTCAGTATCTTTCTCAGATTGAATTTTGAATCAATAGATTGTCAAAAATGCGTATTGATTTGGGTATCTCTGAAACAGACGGCCATGACGACAACGGCGATTAAAACAAAACATTAAGTAACGAGGATAATTACTTTGTTGAGTTCATTAAAATAACATTTGCTTGTGGTTAAAAATAAGTCGTTGAGAATAAAACATTAAATATTGCTTGTGGTTATTTGTTGGTACCTATTTAGGTCGAAGATAGAAAAATATATTTTTTTAATCAACCATTGCATTGAAATTTTTGACATTTCAAAGTCTATAAATTTATTTTGCGATTTGCGAAGTAATTTAAATCTGAAATTACTAAGTAAAATGTGAAAACATTCAAGACCGTTAGGGATATATTGCTCTAGAAATATTAATGTTGTCATTTTTTATCTTAAAAATTTATAGAACAATACAATATTACGGAAGTATTACTATTATAAAACACACTTTCTACATATTTTCTTTTTTTTTAATGATTCTATGATGTTGAATAAGACTAGCTCTAAAATTATTAATTCAGTTTAAAGAAAAATCTAAATTTAATTTAATTTAAAAAAATATTAAAAAAAAGATAAATTAGGTGGGTGCTGTCCAAATTTGTATTTTCTATCAACATTTATGAATTATCGTCTAAACAATTAAAATTTAAAAATAAATTATTAATAAACATTCATGAATCTAATTGATCTATTCATGTATAAATTATGAATAAGTACCTGCTTTAAAAACATTTTATTTAAACAATGTAACTTAAATAGAAACGCTACAAATAATAATAAGAAACGCCTTAAGAAATCAGAGCGGCCAACTAGATTTTTTTTTCTTGTTATGCATTGCTCTAGATTTTATTATTATTTTTCCACCATATTTGTAGCGCAATATAGTGATAATGGTTGGTGTTCAGAATCCATTGTTTCTATTTTCAATAGTCCTTTTAACTCACAAAAGTCGGGTTAGAGACCTTTTGGGATCGGTAATTTAAATTTGCTCGTTCACCCAGTCTCTCAATCCCGCGTAACTCATGTGACGGCTTGTGCGCAACCGCACAGGAAAAATAGGAAGTTTTTGACATTGAGATTCAATAAGACAATTCCGCGTGGTCCGGCGAGTGGCGGAACCGACGACACGAGAGCTTGCGGTTAGTCTTCACAGTGGGTCGTTTGCCTTTCGTGTTCGTTTTTTTACCATTTCGCATCCCAAAAGGGTAAAACCAACCGTGAACCTTTCGACCTTATTGGGACCCTTAACAGTTGGCGTTCGACCCAACGTTTATATAACGAATTACCCTTTATTTTAAACAAGGAATCATACCTTTAAGTTTTTCGCATTTGTTTTGAAACACCCTGTATATACATGCGAGGTGTTTTTAATTTCGTGGACAACTAACCATTTTCTTATTTTAAATAGTATAATTAGTATAGATAGTATAATCTCTGAAAATTTTAGAGATATTTCGTATTACGTAATATTACTATTATATTACATATCTATACCTGAAAGCCTTTATCATTAATTCAGAGTAGGTTTGCTTGAATACGGATCTACTTTAGTGGTCTGTGTTGACATTTTTATCATAAGTAAATTAAATATCAATAATTTCAAAAAAATTGTGATTGTGAAAAAAGGTGCAATCCATATTTCTCCGAAAGGTAGAAAATACAAATTTTATGGTCTGTATTTTATATATAAACATATTAAAATTCGGTTTACAATTAAAAAATAGGGGGAATAGTATAATGTTCAATGTGTAAAAGAATAACTGAAATAGGAAGAGGCTCAAAAATTTAAAATTATTAAACGGCTTTTTTAATTTCATATTCTCGTCAAGAAACGCAACTCTATATTTAAAAATAACGGAGATACTCCGCAAAATGGGACACTCTTAGTTTTTAAATATCGAATTTAGTAAACAACGTTGAACATAGTCGTGTTGAATTTGAATTTTTCAGTTTCAGTTTCACACAAATTGCGCTTGATTAGAAAACGTTGTAAACAGGATCAGTCCAAGTAAAAAAACGATATAATGTTATATTTTTACATTCCCTAGCTATCCATCATTTAAGCCATTCCTCTAAAATCAACTCGGAAGCTCTTTCACCAATAGCCAGCTTTAACGCCGTGAGATGTCCCGATATAGTGACAGGAATGACGCTGTCATCTGCCACCCTTAACCCACTCACGCCGTGTACTTTGAGCTTCAAATCAACGACCGCTCGTTCATCGTTGGGCGAGCCCATTCGAGCACTTCCAGTTACGTGACCAGCGTTAGAACTCAAGTGCCTGATCGCGCATTTCCAGTAGTCGTCCGAATCGAATTCGTGTTTATTGCATGCTGGAAGTTTCTTGTAGTTGGCCTTTACGCCCAGTTTTTGAACCTCATCCGTCTCGATGAGTTGTTGGACTTGTCTGACTCCTGCCAGAAGAGTGTCAATGTCTTCCTCGTCTTCGTCGGAAAGGGAATTCAAGTCGATATCCGGTTGGCACAGGGGATCGTTATCCTTGAGTTTGAGAGACCCTTTCGATTTTGGATGCAACAGCATCAAGTTCAGGGTGAATCCTTGTTTGTGCTGAGGCGAGGTGAACAGGGTTTCCTGTAAATCCGGTTTCAACCTTAGGTTGACTAACCGCTGCTCGTAGATATCTTTGGTGACGAAAATCTCCACATCCGGGGCGTCTTGTTTTACTTTGGACCGGTTGGTTTTGATGAAACCAATCAGCTCTATTCCTGGAGAAGTTAGAGGCCCCTTGCCGTTTCTGAGGTAGTCCGTGCTCTCGCTGTATTCGCACGGCGGCTTGCTTTCCGTCTGGTTTAGCATGTACGATAAACCATTAAATATCACGTGGTCTTTAAGATTGCGACCGACTTTCAAGTCAATTAGATGATTTACTTTAACTTCGTCCAAGTCTTCTTTAGGCCCCAGTCCGGATAATAATAAAAGTTTTGCCGTGTTGATTGCACCTGCGCTTAAGATGACTTCCTTCGACGCTCTTACCGAGTAGAGTTGTCCTTGGTGCAAGAATTCGACACCGCTGGTCTCTTTAGTGTGTTCTCCGACGATCACTTTCAATACTTCGCTTCCAAGTTTGACATCTAGATTCTTCCTTTGTCCGCAGAGTTTTAGATATGCGTCGACGACCCCGATTCTTTTCCCTTCTTTGGCCATCAATTGCGGGACGCCGAATCCGATGTGTTCTTTTCCGTTCAGATCGATTTCTTTCATGCCCACTTCTTCTCCGGCTTTCAGCAGGTGATGCAGCAGTTCCGATCTGTGTCTGGGGTGTTCCACGTGCACTGGCCCTCCATAGCGGTGATACTTGTTGTCGCATTTATCGTCTAGGTGGGCGTCTTCGAGTTTTTTGAAGTAGGGAAGCATAGATGCCCAGCACCAGCCTTTGAGGTCCATATCCGCCCATAAGTCGTAGTCCCTTGGGTTGCCCCGCGTGTAAATCATGGAGTTGATGGAACTCGAGCCTCCCAGTACCTTGGGTACGGGCACGGCGCATTTACGATCGTTCATGCCTAATTGAATTAAAAGATTATTTAAAGTAAAAAGTAAAGTGAATATTTTTTTCTTACCAAGGCAAGAATGTTCTTGGGCGGTTGTAGCAAATCCCCAGGTGTATCTTCCGCTTTTTAAATAATTATACATGGATGGTACCTTGACTTCTTCGGGAGGATTGTCGCCGGCCTCCAGTAGCAATATCTTCCACTCTGGTACCTCCGACAGTTTGTTGGCGATTACAGATCCGGAAGTACCGCCGCCGACTATGACGAAGTCGTACTCTCCCAAATCTTTATTTAAAAAAAATTAGTTTACCTGATTTTAATTATGATATCTCCACTTATTTTTCTATTTACAGATTTACTTTTGGGATACGTAAGATCCTATTATGGTTATTTTTTGAAATTATTTTCATACTATACAGGTTGTCTCAAAAGTCTTTAGTTTTCTAAATAAATTTTTTATTGAATCTCGTTGATTATTGAATTTGGAAATGTCAGATTAAGCTGTCAGTTTTGTCTCATTGAAATAACTGTACAAGTTGTCGAAATTGTGATTTTTGTCTCCATTCTGTGTTTTCTTAAGAAAAATTTTATTGATTGTCGTTGGCTATGGCATTTGGACATCTTTGATAATTTATTTAAGCTCTCAGTTTTGTATTTTTTCGCCAAAACACAAACATTAGTCAAACAAATGTTTCAGATTCCATCCTTATGAAATATTGCTTGTCGAAAAGCTGTACGGAAACGCTTTTGACAACCGAATTGAATTTTGCACGTGGGTGTTTAATAAAGTGGCAGAAACTAAGAACTTTTTTTAAGGTTTGTTTAGAAATCAATGTACTTTTCACAACAGTGGTCAACTTAATAGGCACATTTTCTATTAGTATTACAATTCGAATACGGTACGATTGTCACTCCATGGGGAGGTTTAATAATAGGCTCCTATTTTTTTGAAACACCTATAACTTGGTTTATTTATATATTTATTATAACTGGTATAAATACCAAATTAATACTACATTTTAAGCGTTATTGGAATATACACTTTTTTTAATCGTATAATTCAAAAATGGTAGAATATACAGGGGGTTCTATTTAAAAAAATACGACGGTGAGTTTTGTAATGAATTATTAATTGGTATGTTTTACAAGAGAACTATGATCATATATTCATGAAAATGAAAACAGTTTTGATTTCTCATGGAAAATATGTGGTGTTTTTGCTCCGGAGGTACTAGGAATTTTTAAAACAGAATTATATAACCAGTTGTTGAGTTTGAACGAATTATTTGATTTTCTTAAGGAGCTCCCTGAAGACAATACTAGTGAACTGGGCGATTGTAGTGATGATGACTTTGAAGGGGCCCAAGGTTTTCACGCACCATTTGTTGTTCAGAATTTTGATACCGTGTATGGTTTTTACCGATTATGTTGACACGAAAGTTTTTAATGGGATAGGGATCACGATCTACCCCTTTCTACTATTGGAGCCCAAGAAATGGCAGAGCAAACTGTGTTGGCCAAAATTATTTGATGAGATATCTGACAAAGCACATAAAGTGACAAAAGCCTTTTAAATTCCTTAGTATTCCAGCCCTACAAAAGTCTCTATTGTTATCAACTTGATAATGGGTATAAAAAAATACCAAGGGACTACTGGTCATTGTGGCCAGAACTCAGAGAAACTTTTATAAGTTCTGCCATGTGAAGAGATGGATTTACTTTACTGGATGGATTTTATTTACTGACCCATATTCACCTCAATTATAAATGGGCTACGTATTGATTCAGCAGGTGACAAAATGTTAAAAAGGGGGGAATCTGATTGCTGAGTAAAATGGATAATAGGAATTTTAACGTTCTGAGCGACTTGAAAAAGATGTGAACCCAATCAATTTTTATCCGATTATTTTAGAAAAATAATTTCGCCTTGGATGAGTTTCAAACTGAAAGATTTGTGTAGATGGGGGATTACACCAATATAATTCTTTAAAATTAAATACTATACAAAAGTGGGACATAAATGTAATTCACAATAAAAATTTAAGATATCCTTCAAAGCAAATATTTCAGAAGTCGCGGCTCAACTTCGTATTAAGAATGGAAAAGCTTTCGGAAAAGGAAAAATAGACTGGAACTGACAAAAAATGTAAAATAACTAGGTTATATAAAAAAATCAGTACGAAAGGCGTAAGTTCCAGATTATTTAAAAAGTACAAATTGGATAACAAAACATAAAAAGCTCTTAATGGACTGGATTTCTAAATATAATAAAGCGTTTTGATTGAGGTTAAATTTTAAGTTTGTGTTTTAAAACTAAAGTGTAGTTAAAATGCTGAATCTCAATATGATTTAATATAAAAAAATGTTTGTATATCTACAAAAATTTAAAAATAAACTATGACGTTTTATCATTATGAACCAAATAAAGACTTCTCCAACTCACAACAAGTAAGCTGGTTATTTCTTATTTTTTCTATTGATTGTTCGATAATTTCAAATAAACATTGCGCATCATCAAGAAGGAAACTCGCTTACCGATAATATCCGTTGCGTTGTCGACCTCGAGCGACAAATATCTCTCCTTAAATTCGAAATTCGTCAGGCATTGTTGTTTGAATTTTCCCAGTTGTTTTTCAAATTGGTCCACGTACTGGTCCACCGTGTCGAAAGGGTAACTACAGCTCGCGTATCGCAACACGGTGTAGAAAAAAGCTAGTTTCGCCAGCATTTCGATGATACGTTAAAAATCCGCTGCCGACGATGACTTTCTGGCGGTTTTCAAGTTCAAGTTCTCGGCTTTATACGCACGGGATTCCGATTCATCGCCGTTTTTGTAGAACCACTCTGCGGGATTACCACGGGGAATACCTTCGCTTATGGTCGCCGTTCTTTGACTGTAAAGCTGCGATAGACTGGAGCACGCACATGCTATTTGATCAGTTTGGTATTGTATTGTGCAAATTCAAAGCATGTAGAGCTGTTGGAAACGCCAGCACTGCCTTGCCTGCTCCAGCACCACCTTGTATGCTCTGTTAACAGTTATTATATCTTTAATTTTTGAATTTTTATTGTTTGCTTTTTATTTCGGTTGAGGACATCAGCAAAATAGCCAACCCCTTCAATAATATCCAATCTGGTGCACTGGAATATACAAATTCATGCCGAAAATAAAATTTTCTATTCCGATAGGCAAGCTAGCAACAGTGTTCCAAGCAGAGGTCACTGCACTAGAACCCTGTGCAAGAGAAATAAAGAAGTCGAAATTATATCCAAGTAAGCCCGCGAAGTTTGTAATTGTAAAATCAGTCATTAAAAAATGGATGGTGGAGAGATGTAACAGGACCAAATCGACCAAGGAATTCATCAGAAATCCATCGGTTAAATTTACAGACCTGTCAAGCAACAAAAGCAAGACCGTAAGAATAAGAATCAAAATAGAGAAAGCGAGATCTACGTTTATGAAAATGTAGAAAAATTTTTGCATAGGAAATATTGGAAATATTACCTTGGATTGTGATCCTCTACGGAACGGAGGCACGGATCATGAAAAATGAAGATATAAAAAGACTTTCCTTTTTTCGAATACTGGACATACCGGAGAATTTTCAGCTGGACGGAAAGGATAACGAATAATAAAATACTAAGACGATGGAAGAAAGAAAAAGAAATTATCCTAACAATTAAAAATTACAATTTGTGGGATATTTTATGATTGGCCAAAATATGACTTGCTACAGATAATAATACAGGGAAAGATACAAGGAACAAGAGTGTCGGAAGAAGCCACCATTCGTCGTTGAAAAATCTGCCTGACTGGTTTACATGCCCAACAAATCAATTATTTTGATGTGTTTTTTTAAAAATTCCTGTAGCTCTGATGATTGACTACTTTCGCAACGAAGAGTGCCCCTGAAGACAAAGAAGAATAATGATAGCTCTACTGACGGGCTTAAAAAGAATAGGAAAGAGCCACCACGGACTATACCAATCTACCTATTTATCTAGAGGGCGTTTACATCAACTGTGCAACGAGCTACACCAAGGAGCCACTGTCGAACTCGTGGAGCCTAATCAGAGGGACGAACCTAGATAAACCTCTATATACTTACGAAGAGAGTCATAATAGAACCTTTGGGTCGCGGTGTAATAGAACCGAAATTTGAGATGCAATTACTAGAACAGGCAGGAGCATAAAGGTGGAAAGAGCTAAGATAGATATAATAAACTACTAGTATATTAATATTTTTATTAAATAAAGGATGTACGATAAAATTTGGAAATTTTGGGAGTTCCGTGTAATACAGAGTCTTGACATTACCGTTCTTCTATTAAGTCAATCAAGGTGTTCGAACGTATCATACTCACCACATTCTGGCAATGAAGACGAATCAATTAGCTTATTCCGAAAACCACCCTCACAATATTCAAAATATTGCTTCCATCGTCAGCTATTTTTATAGGCTAGGTTATAGGTGAGTAGGAGTAAAGTATAGCGACAAATTATACCCGAATTGTCTGGGGTGGTAGCGATTGGAGTATTTTAACAGGAAAAGCGTATTTTTAAACTAAATTGAAAAAAAATTACTTTGAGAAATATCTGCCATGGATGGTATCACCTTCAATTGTTGTCGGATTCCGTATTTTTCATTTTAATTAAATCAAGTTGTACTTAGACTTCCTCGGTTGGTAAAATTATTCTTGAAGTCTCTCGCTGATGTCTTTAATTGACATTGACAGTTATATGCATTGTTTATTTATACATATATCGGAGCTCAAAATTTTTCAAAAATGAAAAAGTAGTTACCATGAATCCAAAAATCGAGCACATCGTTGCTCTGTCTACTCTAGAAACAGTGTTTTTTGTTGAAATACTTCAATTACGACTACCCTGTACATAATGAATAAAATTAAGTCAAAAGTTTTGCTAGTTGGAATTAAAATATATTTTTATTTGAACAGTAAAGGCTGAACAAGTAATTTTTTATGTAAAAGTTGTTAATTTGGATTTTGGATTTTTTATTAGTCATTTGTATATTTCTGGTTTTACTTCACCCAAAATCCAGTTGGCTAACTAATATCATCGATATCACCATATCAGTTTAAATAGCCAAGAGTATTTTTAAATACAAACCGAACGCTGTCAAAACAGTTTTTCACACATGGAAGATATTTTGTTTTGTTATCGCGTTGTTCTTTTTTTATTTATGGTATATACCATACAGCAGTTAAATGCTAGATAACATTTTATAGATTTTTATCCTCTTTTTGTAGTATTTTGAAGAAAAATTTTGTTAACAGTGGAAATAAGAATATGCACATTCAAAATATATATTTTTTAATATTTCGACAATAAATTATGATAAAACAGATTAGTGTTAGATTGAAAGAGGTAGATGGTTTGATTCGTGTTATTTTTTCAAGATGATTGGTGCTTTAACTAATGTAATATTACGAAATTTCCTAATTTATTCTTATCACCAAAATGGATGTTCAGTTCTGAAGAAAACATTCCCCTTTGATTACTTTGTTGTTTTTGTGTAGCCATAACAAAAATCGATAATGCATGGGTTGAAAATTATATTCAATTATTATATTATATTGAAAATATAATTCAGTTCTTAATTTTTATGAATTATATCTTATAACAATCTTAATTTAGAATATTTACAATATTTTTTTGCTTTCATTGAGGTTGTTTTCTTAAAATATATTTGTAAAAAAAAAGAAAGTTCAAAAAAGTTTACTAGCCAACTTTCTTTGGTGGTTTTATCATCTAATTTTTGAATTTCTTGTCGAAAATAATATTGAATGGATAAGCTAAAATGTAAATGTTTGATGCGCGTTTTTAAGACATTTTCCAACAATTTTTTCCTCGAATTTTGGGTTTAATTAAGTGTAGTTTTTTTTAATTTCGGCATTTCCTTTCTTGATGACGGACGTAAGCAAAATCAGCTTTTAAGATTCCCTGGGAACTCCAGTCAATATACGGTCTCTCAAAAAAAAAAAGACACAAACCAGTACCCATGAAACTCGATTCTCTAGTTTGCCGAATAATTTACCTGGGACATTCCTTCTGCATAAAAATAATAAAGCCAGAAGTCAGTATGTACTTATGTTAATAATTGTTTGAATATGTAAACACGCAAAAGTGCGTATAGCAGTAATTGGCACTTCCTTTTTAAATATTCCCGAGAAAAATACAAATTTAAAAAACCTTGTCGTGTAGGCGTTCGATTCTCGCTAATTTATGTGCCCACCTGTAAAGCGGTAAAAATAAAAACGATATCTTCAGGATGGTTCAGTGGCGAATGCACACCTATCCTTAATGAGGCGATATCAACAGAAATAACAATGCATTTAATTTTACTTTGTAGCAATTTTATTTTCTTATGTCGATAAGATTAATAATTACTTAATAACAAACAATATCACTCTGGTTTCGTACCGCACCAATACCCAAAAATAAAATTTTACACTTGATATAATAGCAAAACGTTTTCATTGCACTCTTTTGTTTGCTTCACCCGGAATATATTGAGAGTTCACTAAAGGCATTAAAACATCGTTTCAATTGTGATAAACATAACCTTCATTCCGCCGTGCATTTATCAACGCGCAAACAAACAATACGTTCAGTGCCTATTGTTTTTGGGATATTTTTCGATCTCCTAATCATCCATGCCAATGTCAAGATTTATTGTTTTCGATTATTCGGTATTATTGTGTTCCATGGTAGTCGTGCTAGTTTGTAGGAGATGTCATTATTTGAAATCTCGTATTTCTCTCATAATTTCTTGTGAACTGTGGATGTTTCCCAGCGGCTTAGTGGTATTTTCGGTTGTCGATGTTGTTGCAACTCACCCGGACTGCTCTGTGGTAATGTTGGGCGAGGATCAAATTTTGTACTTCACTTCCAATGAAGAAGCTTGAGGAATCGTGCGTTGATTTGAAAGCAGCTGTTTTAAATGTCACTGTTTGGACAAATATTTGCTGTCCGTCGATCTTCTCACCGAAGTCTCCCCTTTTTCTTCTTTCACATTGTAAAATAAGGGTTTTGCAGTGTTTAGCTTTCGTTTAGTACGATTCCTTTGTAGAAATCACGGTTTTTCATTTTGTCAATATTACTTTGCAACGTGGCCGGTTGTATTAGCCCCATGGCACGCTGAATATATTTTACGGGTTTCTATTTTATGGTTGTCTTCCACGATCCGTATTTGGGTAAGTTAACCTTGTTGGTTACGTCGTATATTAATTACTTTTATTTTTATGGTTGTTATGGAACCCCTGTCCCAACTTTAGCTAGCCGTATCGTGTCTAGTTCCTTTTTTTTGTATTTTGGAGTCTTGGATACTCCATCGTAACTAAATAAGAGCGAGGTGCAGTTCGTCTCCTTTCGAACATTGTCATCAGCATCCGACAAAGAGATTTAATCGTCTGAGAGCGCGAGGTCCAGCTTTCCTCCACCAGAAATACCATTCAGTTTGAATCGTTCGAGGTATTGGATCCAATACCGGTATAATATATCGTAAAATCTTCCACTACCAAATTCGACTTATTTAACTCACAACTCCATTACATAATTTGTTGTAACATCTTTAACTATAAAACTCAACTATTTAATTCTCATATATCATAAATACTTAATATGTAAAACCAACTTTGTAAACAATTTTTTTTAAACGAGGTTAGTGAGTTTCGATAAGGTACTTTCTCGTTAGTATTTCCTTTGGTTAATATTTCCAATTTTATTTCAATACTTCTCAATATTGCCAAGTAAGGTTTTTTACTCTCGTGCCTGTACTTCTGTCTTTGGAGTCCGTACTAGTTAATATATTTTCGAACATTTTAAATTAGAGGTTTACTGGAACATTCCTTTGAAGTTCCCCTTTGATTTCTTGGTCCAAACATCGGGCCAAGTGGCGCCCACACGGAATGTGTATAATAATTAAAAAAGAAAACACGATCCATAGCTCTCCAAAATCAGCTGCCGTCCGCTGCTCTACAGAGTAAGTATTGTTTTTAGGCCAAAACTTACTTTTTTTTATTGATGCAGACTGTATCTGTGACCTTGGAAACATATATCTTAAACTAAAAAAAAATCTCCTATCTCCTCGTTAGTCGGCGTTTTTAAATTATATACTTTTTAATATGCTCATGCTCCCTGCTTCCATATCTATCTGCCTTTGTTTTTGTTACATTTGTTGATTTCAATTAGCGTGTGTGTTTAGCCATATCAATTTTTTGATTTGTTCAACACAATCTTGTTTTCTTTGAGACTTCTTGTATGTTATTTATATTATTGGAATCACAATTACGTTAGTGAAAGAAGCTCGAGTTGAATTTCTTTTAATATTTACTTCCCTTGAGAGGTACGATGGACTATCTAACTTTGTAATTTGTATTTTTTTTAATAATTGGATTATTGTTGTGGAATAAATGTTTTATTTACTTAATTAATATATTCTTATTAATTTAATTAATTTGAGTTCAGAGGTAGAAATAAATAAATACTGATTACACAAAACAGCTGCAGTTTGTTTTTCAGCTACAATTACACCCTGAATTATGAATAACTATTGTTAAACTAAGCTCTATTCTATAGGCGTATTGTATAACTTTTATTATCATCAAGGTTTCTCTTGAGCTACTGCCTTACCGTTTAAAATTCAAATTATACTTATTTTCTGGCTTTTGTTGGCAAGTTTTGTTCTTAAAATAGCTGAACTTGTTGTGGACAAATGGATTAGTAAATTTTGCTTCCTTCGCCATCAAAACTAAACATTCGGAGTTCAAAAATAGTTAACATTTATTCGAATATGACTGGAGTTGCACAGTCTATAATATACCGTCTTGTGTACGAGTATAAACGCTTCCCAGTATATCATCAAAATACATATACACTCATACTTGAAAACACCTACCTACATTTCATTCCACGCGTGGCTAAGAAGAAATTGTGGAAAGAATCGCTTTTAATAGATAGGCATATCTGGACGAAACTTGGGCGGATTACTCACATTATTAGCAATAATGGATTTGTCAGTGGGGGCTTGATAGCCTGTCAATCAAAACATGAAGACGTGAATGTTGACTACTTCCAGCAAATGCTCCTGTCTCCTTGGTCTGCTATAGTAATGCATATACATCTGTTCGAAATTTATTGTCGACGAAATCGCTTCAAAATCAATATGACTGTGAATTGAACCCCATACAATTGGTATGGGCCTAAGTAAAATGGATTGTAGCAACGCATAACAACTCTTTGAAAATAAGGGACGTTGAAACTCTCTTAGCATTTAGTAGGATTTAGGATATATTGTGTGTGGCCGACGTACCGGCTTTCAGTTGCCACCTGTTGATCTATTGCGGCACACTCCAGAGTATTCAGCCCTCGTACAAAGTACTTACTTTCTTGAGATCGTGAAGTCTGAGAATTAGGGTTTCTAGTTTGAATAGGGCAGTCGTCAGATTTGACAAGGCCAATCTTGTGCATATGATGTTTGAGACTGCAGTTCCGGTGGACATCCCTCGGAGAACTTTGAGATTTGATTTCCTGATTGCTAGTGGGGTGTCGGTTATACGTTTCTTCATGGGACACTCTATCACTGCCTTTGAATGGGTTAAACCTGATAATCGCAGCCAGTATGCTTGAGTTTCCTCTCCTATCCATGCTTTGATTGCATTTATTGCCGATGTGTGAAGTGAATAATATGCTCGAAAACATTGTAGAGCGGCTTGTTGTTATGATTACTAACCTACATATGAAGTTTTATTGTAAATAGTCGAATTTTTTGAAATAATATTTATTGCAATTTATCTATTTTCTTATTATTCTTACTTCTATATAAGTTTTAATTTACTTGATATTAGAATAATTAAATCTCAATTATCTCTCCATCTCTATAATTATATAATATTATATTTATTATTCTAATAAACTGCCTGTAGTACCACCGCTGTCTCATTACTTTCATTCCCAAACTCGTTTTTCTATTGTAATATGATGCTAATTTAGGTCTTAAATACTGAATTACGGGACGTTCTCCGTCCTGTTTAATAATCCATATAATTGCAAATTTACATTGTATTACTGTCTTCTTTTTTAATGGTGCGCGTGCGTCTTTTAATAATTTGATTAGGCTTGTTATTAGCTTTTCCACAGAATATAAGAGCCATTTTAATTTTCTTTTCTTTTGTGGTTATATCTTAAAGAGCACCGAAATAAATAAAAAAAAAGGTAAACATTCGCTCACATTTTTTGCTTTTTATTGTTTTTTACTAATATGGGATCTTTTGATATCTCCAGAATCTATTAGATTGCTGGCCTCCCATTCCATTTTGATCAGGTCCGAAGCTTTTTCCCCTACCATGTACGCCGGGATATTGGTATGCGCTGTCAACGGCAACGGAATCACGCTGGTATCGGCCACCCTTAAATTCTTTATACCGTAGACCTTTAATTTATTATCGACGACTGCTTCCGGGTCATTGGACGGTCCCATTTTGCAAGTGGAAACCTGATGATGCAAAGTGGGCGTTATGTGACGCAGCGCGCATTCCCAATACTCGTCCGTATCGAACGTGTGACGTTCGCACCCTAAAATATTAAAATTTAGAGTTGGTGATTTGTAATTTTTAGAATTTGTTTTGAAGTACCTGGTAGCACTTTATCGTATTGCAGCGATCCGTATTTTTGAAACGACGGCATTTCGTTGATTCGTTGAATTTCCCTAATGGACGCTACGAAAGTCTTTATGTCGTGGTTTTCCGCATCGGTGAAGTAATTGGGGTAAAATTTCGGCCAATGGTACGGATTTTTGGATTTCAGCCTGAGGTAACCCACCGATTTTGGGTGAACCAGCATAGGTATAACCTAAAACATTTAAGTAGGGCTGACTAAGCTTTAATTTCTTTAGTTATCATTATAATAATTATTATTATTTTTATTATAAGACTTTTATTGTTTGCTAAAAAATATACTTCAATCTTGCATTCAAGCTCGTGGAAGTTCTTCCAGTCCTGAGAAATTGAGACCTTGGTGGAATATTTTATTAATAGAGGGTACATAAAAATTGTGTGGCTGGAGTATCTATTACTTTAAAGTTCAGCACATTCGCAAATCCTCTATTGCAAAATAACCATCATTTAACAAATTTACAACAATTTTTTTCTGGATGTTGCTAAACCAAGAAGTGCGGATTATGAATCCGAGCTGGGGCTATAGTCTCAATATGGTTGTTAGGATTTAAATATTTATCCACGTAAATCACAAGAATCTTCACCACCTCTCTACCCATTAAAGAAGTTATTATTAATACAATAAGAATCATTCCATAATCAATTTCTACAACAACTAATATTATTATATTATTTAATATTAGGCAACCGACCATTTTGAAGAGCTCTGCACTCATCCAGTGTGTACTGATCACTAATGCAAAAGATGGAAGAGAAGTGTTACTACGAAAGTATAACAATAAAGTAAAATTACTAATGCTAAAAATAATCAGAGATAGAAGTAAGCAGAGACAGAGAATTATGTATCTATTTAACTTTTTTTTATAGAAATATATCTAATTTAATAGAAAAATAGGTAGGAGAAGAAAATAATGTAAGAAGTAGAAGGAAAAATGGTCAGGAATTCATATTGACCTACTGCTTATCGAACAATTTTGCTCTGAGATGTGCTTTAAAAGTTATTACAGAGCTTGAAAGATTTTAAATTTATTAAATATATATAAAATATTAATTTCTTGCAAAAATTTTCGAGTCTTAATTCGTGTGTATCGATATGGTCAACACAGGATCCATATGCAGTGTATCCCACTTTATAACTGTCCACCCTTTTAAAAATCTCTGTTTATGGTTCGATTTTGTTTTTTGTTGTTGAAAATGCAGTAAAACTTAAAACACTTAAATGAGAATTATTATTAGGGCGGGCATAGAACCTAACCATACCAATTTTTATAATGATTCAATACACGGTGTTTGAAATATCGTTTGCGCACCGCTTAAGGCTGTACATTTTTGTAAATTCTTTGATTACGGTTTGATTTTGATAACTTTTTTTTGTTGGATAGATCTCTCTTCGTATTATATCATCCTAAAGTCTTGGCAAACTGGGACTAAGTTTATATATATTGAAAGGGGCTACTAGGGATTTCTTTAAGAAATTAATTATCAACGAATTCTTTCAAAGACTTTTTGAAGGACATTTATTTTTTAGTATCGGTATTAATAAATCTTATTATTAGTAAATCTCAGTATGTCGTCGTCAATCAATTTTGACATTTCTATTATTTTCGTTATTAGATGCGAATTAAAAATCCTTTTTAATTAAAAAAATACAGGTTTGTAAAGTCTGTTTAGTTCATACCTAATCCTTTCTAATCAAATTTAATTTTAAGAACATCGTTCAAATACTAAGATTTGTTCAATTTATACACTTTTTTGTTAAAGAAATCATTAATAATAGCCCTTCTTGATATTTGACATCAAAAATTAGATCCAGTTAGACTTTCGGTTGATGTAATAAGAAACATAAGGTTTAAGTGCGTTTTTGATACATCTTTCCAACAAATTATCAAAATCAAACCATAATCAAAGATTTTACAATGATGTACAGCTTCAAACACCCTTGAAACTAACAGAAATATCGTTTAATTAAATATTTATGTTTACTAAAATGTTTGTTTTTATTTACAAAAGATTACTAATTTCTGCGGATTGATTTTTAGATGTTTTCTTGTTACACCAGTCAGATTTTTTAAAGTATTTGTCGTATTCCAGTTGTTTTGACTTAAAAGTAATTGTCCACTTACTTGCCACACTGATTTGTCTTCTAAATCCTTCCAATACCCATCGTACAACTCTTGCTTAATGCTAAGGGTATTTTTATAAGCTAGACCTCTATCGGTGGCCACACTGCCTCCGATGAAAATAAGCTCCATATCTGGGTAAGAGTCTGGATCGGTGGAGGCGTTGGTTTTGATATACGCCAACGCTTCAACGCCTCCGAGAGTGGTCAGTGGTCCTTTTCCGTTGGCGATGAGGTCCAGGTAATTCACGGGATTGTATAAATCCGATTGTCGATTAACTATGGTGGTATTGGTTATAAAATTTAATCCTACGAATGTTATGTGATCGTACATCTTCTGGCCGACCGGTAGATTTTGAACGACCGGAATGTTGAGCTCTTCTAGGTGTTCCTTTGGTCCTATACCCGATAACATTAACAATTGAGGGGAGTTAAAGGCGCCGGCTGATAAAATAACTTCCTTGGTCACCAACGCTTTATAGTAGCGTCTATTTTTGACGTATTTTATGCCGTAAGCCGAGCTGGTACCGGGATTGATCAAAATTTTGATTGCTCTGGAATTAAGAGATACTTTCAAATTATTTCTGTCTCGAGCTGGGCGCAAGTATGCCTTTTCGCCGCTACAGCGCTTTCCCCTTCTTAGATTACCCTGTACGTACGATACCTGGAGAAAAGCGTGTTGTTTTGCAACGGATTCGTTCAACAACCATTGTTTTACTTACACCCATTTGATCTTTGCCATTGTAGTCCACATACGGATGTCCCGCTTCTTGTGCAGCTTTGACAAAAGCGTGCGCGGACTCACTTCTGTGGGGTATATCGCCGACAGACAGATATCCTCCCTTTTGGTGGTACTCCTTGTCTTGTACTTCTATATCAGCGTCTTCCATTTTAATAAAATATGGTAGGACATCTTTGTAAGACCATCCCGGGTTGCCCATAGCGGCCCATCTGTCGTAATCCAGAGGATTTCCTCTAACGTGAATCATGTAATTGAGGACGGTGGTTCCTCCCAGCGCCCTACCTCGTGGCCAGTGCATTCTTTGATCGGGACACCCTGAAATATTTTCGTTTCATTACAATGACGACGGTCGGAAAGTGTACTTACCTAAGCATGCGCCGTCTTGTTTCTCCGCTTTGTAATTCCAGTCGATTTTGCTGAATTGAAATACGGGAGCCAATACTGGAATGTCCGTCAGCGGTATGGCTTCGTCGCCTACTTCCAGGAGCAGAATTTTCCATTTTTGATTTTCCGACAAGCGATTTGCTAGGACGGAGCCCGCGGATCCGGATCCTACTATGATGAAGTCGTAGGTTTCTTCTACTGGTGTATTCGGATGCAAATACTCCTTGTTTATTGGAAACAAAGGTAGATGGAGTCGCTTTTCTCTGGTTAGTGTGATTGCTGCATTTTCCGTCGTGTTATTTGAAAAGTCTGCCAAAGTCGAAGAGTATGCCCGTGTCGTGCAGATAAACAATAGCAAAATCTCTCTGGTCATTTTTATATCTGAAAGATTGCTCAAATTGGCATTCATTGTGGCTAAATGGTAATCAGCGTTATATGCGAATTTGACGTGCATATAAATGTGGTTACATTTACATGTTATATGTTGGTCGAGGTCAGACTACAATTTGAATTAATCTCTAAGCGTTCTTTAGGTTATGCAGGGTCACTGTTGTAGAGCAGGAATTCCGATGTTTGTTGATTGAACGCATTAAAATTTGATACATAAATATTTTTTCACTCTCTTCTCTAGGTGATAAGTGATACTTTCAGATGTCAACTTCGTTACCCACGGTTGCGAGCTGGTTCGGTCGTTTTCGGTACTTTAATCACGGATTTGGAAGCGATCAGATATTTTCGGTAGATTTTAGTCACGTGACAAGTATTCGTGCTGTTTTGCAACAATGTACTCAAAAACTAATGGTCACTCCTCTGCGCTGTGCTCGTGCTAAATGATATTCGTGACTAAAATGACATTTATCAAACTTTTTGGATGTCATACTGTAAAATTGACCAAGTTTGGAGTGACAAGTTGCCTTATTGAGGAGTTTGCTGTTATTTGAAATGGAACACAAAAGAAGATAAAAATGAATTTGCATTCGGTTTGAGCGACCAATTTTGCATTTTGAATGACACACTCGGAATGTTTTATATTTTTGGATTCAGTAGAATCATGTACGCATGATTTTGTAAATTTTATTTGGGTTTTCTAATTGATTTTGAAAATTGTATCTAGACGGCTATGACGTTCATTCATACAGTAGTGCCACCATTGACTACATATTAACAAAAATTTCCACAATTAACTTATATCAATTCCTTCCAATTTCAATATGCTATCTGAAACAGTTTAAAAGGTATAGTGTTCCCACTTTCTTGTGTCACCAGGTATATTTTTGTTTGATGATAAATTTTAAGTGTTTAATTTTGGATTTTTGGTAAAGTGGTGACAGGAAAGATTAAACTTCAACTCTCAATATAATGATAATAACAATATTAATAAATTGTTTTTAATATTCAGATATTGGAAATAAGGAAATAGAAAGAATGATTTTAATAGTCAAAAGGATAACATTTTCATGTACGGTCTGGTCAATAAATTCTGTTTCATTGTTTCAACTTTCCAATGTTTCTTTATTTCGCATTTGAATGTTACATTCAATGATGATACATAGATTGTACATTTATGCACGTCATTTTGTGATAGATATAGTGTAAATAGATAGAGTATAAATAAAATGTAAACCAACAAATATATGCATAACAAATAGAGGCATTCACCAAAGAAATATTAGTATAAATACGAACACAAAAATTATACAATATATTTAATTAACACACTTTAGAATTAGCATTATTGTACTTACCTACTACAAAGGTGAGCCGTTATGGAATTCATCTACTGTATAGTAACATTCAGCTGTTAATAGTGATTTTAGTTTTTGATAAACAGTGGTAATTTAATTTGTTCATCCTATAAGCTCTTGTCGATCTTTGCAATTTTATTATAACATTTAATTGCGACGTATGTATGATGCTCTTGTGCTATAGAAAGTCTTGTTAATGGCTGTGTAAGATCATTTTTTGCCCATTTATTGTGGTTATGTACGTCTTTTTTTCTTATTTATATTATGTTTTTTTACGTATATAAGTAATGAATAAACATATAATGATGTTAATGTTAAAATTCCCAACTCTTTGAAATGTTTTCTACAAAACACTGTTCTTTTTTGTAAACATTTAAGTTATCTTGAGAATGGAGATACAAATTTCTGTACTTGGTACCAGGAGTCTACTTTTTTGTGAGTATTTTAGTGGCGATATTTCGACAACTTTGTACCATAAAAAAAAATAATTTGAATACCCGCCAATAGGAAAAAAAGCCTTATCTATCAGTATCGGCAAAAATGCAATCCTGAAGTTACTCTATACCGTAAAAAGTAAAAATGACCAAATATAAGTACGATTTATAAAAGAAAATTTAAAGTTTTTTTTTCTTTTAACTTTGCAATTGGTGAACCATTTTTGAAATAAGGTATTTCTTGGTCTGTGTCAATTTTGCCGAATATCATATATTCAATATCTCTAACGATGATGATATGAAGAAATCAAAATAGTAGCTCACTGAGTATTCTTTTTTGTTAAACACAAAACAAACAAAACATAACAAATATGAGTCGAGTACGGCAGGGAAGTTGAACATTTAAGAAATTGGGGGAAAAAAACTAAAAAATCTGGAAATGCCATATAGTAGATAGCTTCCACCACCCCAAACTTTTCGGATGTTATAAAACTTAAGGCGTGACAGTTACATGAAATCGCGCGTGAAATTTTTACTTATTAATTGTATAATTGGTGCTGTAAACATCCACGCAGAGAAAGTAGTTTTGCTAATAATCGGATGGCGATGACCGACCGGATGTGACCTTGAAAGATCTCGCACTCGTGGAGGCGCTCACGGAGTCGTTTTCGAAAGCGACAGTGAATTAACGTCGTTAGTGATTCTTGGTTAGTTGTGATATTTAACATGATTTCCACTACCGGCAAATATTTTTTTATCGATTAATCTTTCATTGCAACTGTACTTACCAATTTTTACTATTTTCTCGCTCTACATTCGCCGGTTATCACATCACGCACGACAGAACGACTTGCTGACCGCCAGGCACCGTACTCTTCGGTGCTACAGAAAAATTCGGACGGTATTCATTAAGAAATGGTACCGGTGGTGGTACCTTGTCTTTGGCGCGTTTTTATTACATCCATTGCCGAACTTTTGGCATTCTTCATGTTAATTTGTCGATATTTAGCAAGCCATTAAATCGCTATTCGGGACTTATAGCTTATTATCGCCGAATTTTTCCTTTGAATTTGGATTGCAAATTAACCTGACATGTTTTACGTTGGATTAATCGGCTGAGGTCTACGCAATTAAGTGCGGAACATACACTTTCAGCAAGAGCTACGAACGCATTTTTTTCTACGAGGATAAGAAAAACACATGAAAGAGAAAATAGTATAAAAAATGGTTTATATTTATTAATTTGTATTGCAATTAAAAAATTCGACAAAACTACTTCTTAATATTAATATTAATCGTGAATGTTGCAAATTAATCGCTGGTTCCAAAAGAATTTTCCAAACCGGAAAAAACAATAACGGTGGCTGTTGAATTCCTTGTATAGCGTTTTCACAGGTAAATGGTTTCGGCCTAATGTTCGGTGTGCTGCTTGTAGGTAAAAACGCATACTTGTGTTGTTTTTTTTTTTTAACTTTTTTTTATTTCGTTTTATTTTCTCAAAGCGCGGTGTCAATGTGTTGTTTTCTAGAATAAAAAACTAGAATTAAAACTAGAATGTAGCATAAAGATTTAGGTGACTATAATGTTTGAAGAAATGATTTGTTGCTGACGAAACTCAAATAAAATGTCGAATTACTAACGTTACTAAGATATCACAAATAGAAAAGAGGAATCCCACCGATTATAAAAATGGCGGCATGGTGTATGCGAAATAAGAAAATTCCTCCATGCCACATGGTTTGACACTTTAATACTCTGTATTCGTTTCTTTCGGAAAATGTAGAGCCACAGCTATTTGTTGTTTGTCATTTGTTGGCAGAGGCAACACGTCATACAGTGTTGCGGCCTATCGTATATAGCACATATCAAATCAACTGAAATTAGATGGGATGCTAGTGTGTTAGATTTAATAAAGGAAAGTGTTAATAACTTCCCCCCCTGATATTTGGAAAAATTCAGTTAATCGTGTTATTACTGTAGAAAATTGTTGGCATATTGTTAAACCCATTATAATTAATTTAGGTAAAGATAGTATCAGCGACATTAAACTACATATGGAATATTCTCTATTTTATTAAATTTATTATAAATATTTCATGCCAATAATATTCTTTTCTTTCCGAGCATGCCATTTTTTACATTTGCTCATGTGTGGCATGTTTATTGGTAAGCTCTTCTCCACACAATGGAACCTGCACAGGTAGTTCTATTACATCAAGTAATCCAAAATCATCACCGCAAATACGTAGGGAAACCCTAGCCATGGCCGAACGAAGCAGACAACATGAAGACCCCAGACATCCTATGTACCAATATATTCCGGCAGCGGCCAGACTGAAATCAATTCGAGCCTTTATACAATCTACACAGCCTCTAAAACTGCTACCAAGGAGACAAAATGGGAACAGCGCCTAGCAAACAACGACATCCCAACCTGGAATATAAAAGAAAAACTTCCTGCAGGCTCTAACTTAGACCGGGGTACCTGGAAAACCCTCAACCGACTCCGGTGCCAAATGGGGAGATCCAAGAACAACATCCTGAAATGAGGATCTGTGGAAGAGGAAACGTGTGAATGTGGAGAATCCCAGACAATGGAGCACCTTCTAGCGTGTCAATCCCTACAAGCCCCATGTACCATCCGGGACCTTTGGACGTGCAATGAAAATGCTGTGAAATGCGCCAGACACTGGAGTGAGATATGAACAATATCTAATAATTTCTAGTCACAAGTTGTAGTCAGACACGATTAAATAAATCTATTTGTGAAAACACTTTACCGCCCGAAGTAAATCTATTGATTTAAGAAATACGTGGAACCGTTTTTGGGGTGCAAACTTTTTATTAACAATTTCAAAAAAATGGCTAGCTTCAAATTTGTGTAAACGCGGAATTACTAACAAATTTTGTTAAACTTATAAAGTCGATGGAAATCATAAATAGTAAACATCATCTTTCCACGCTAAATGTCCAATTGTACACTAATCAGGCGTCCGCGAAGTGTCATTTTAAAACGTCAGTTTCATAAACCACTATCGTGAGCTACTGCGTGTTCTTTCTATACTTTAGTCATTTATGCATTACATTCATCAAGGCACACAGTAAATTTAGTCGTGCTGTCTTGTGACGGTATTAAAGAAATTATAGAATGCAAGAAGTTTAAAAACCGTTTCAGGCCCTCGTTCATTAAACACTCGTTCCGCTGCGCTCCACTTGCGGCAAAGCAAAATCGTGTCGTTTATGGTACTTGTTTTGTAGTTTACTATTTTGTCTGTTTTTTTTTTTTTTTTGTTGGGACCAATTACGGAAAAAAATGCTCTTGTGATAATTTCAATTTAAGTTATTAGTAAGGATTATTAAACAAAATTAGTTTGATCTCTTCTTTTCTTCGAATTTAAATTTGTCTTCGAAACGGAGCAAGTGATTTTCTATCAACTGTAAAAGTGTGTCCCCCGCAACCTGGCCTACCTTGTATTAAAGAAAACACAACGCGAAACTTTGCAAACTTTATTGATCAGAAACGAAGTTCAATGTCCGGCGTTCTCTTCATTTTCAACCGAAAACCCGTCGAACACGAACTTGTCGTTCCTCTTCAAAATGTCATCGGCAGTGATTTCGTAGTTAAGCGTGTTTCCTGATACGTAGGTGCTTACTCTGGCTCGACCTTGAGGATCGGCGGTTGGTCCATCAAGAGGTTCAACTTCCTCCCTAATTTAAGATTCAGAGAAAAAAGGAATTAGTTTTCATATTCCTTACCTATTTTTTTCAAATAGTATATTGTGCAACAAGTTTGATTAACGCCATTTTAGTCACGAGTTCGATTTGAATGACGTATGATGTGGCGGCTCTGCTCGTACCTATACAAATTGGTGACTAAAGTGTTGTTTATAAGACTTTTTGCATAAGAAGTGTTCTTAATTTTAACTAGCTGTAACTTCGACATATCTCTGGTTGCTGTATCAGTGTTTTCGGACATTTTCTCGTTATACAGTAAACACTTCGCGAAGAAGAATTTAAAAAAAGGGTATTCTTATAAAACTGTTTATTAAAATACTGGGTCGACACCTTTGAACGTTTTTGTCATTGTTAATAAAATTCGGTTTTTATTTTAAAATCAGAACTAAGCAACTAACTGTAGCCAGTGTTGAAATTTATTACAGTTGTAAATAAAATTAACAAAACCAGGTGCGTGCAAAAGTCTATGAAACGGAGCAATTATTCAGGCAATTAAGGAGAAGGGTCAAAGCCTTACTAATAAAATAATACCCTTTTAATATTTGCACCTTTCTGGTGAAAACACTAAATCAAATGAGAGAGGCTGCTGAGAAAATCAAACTTAAACTTTACAGAGAATAAACACATTGCTGTTATAACATATTGTAAAATTAACAAAAAATCAAATAAAGCCCCCTTTTTTGCAACCCGCTGGTTTTGATCATTTTTCTTAAAAGTTAATTTTTGATGCAGTTTACACGTCAACTGTTATTGTTTAGTTCCAATTTTAAAATAAAAGCGGAATTTCATAAAATGGTCGTATTTCCATGTATAAAAAAATTGGGAAAGGGATCCTTAGGTGTTATAAAAAAACTTTACAGGACTCGAAATGTTTTTCAAAACTTTCGTCAAAAAATGAAAATTTTTCGCTGTGTAGCATTAACACCCTGTATAACGAGATGGGGTTTGAGAAAAAAATTCCGACACCAATGACGCGTAGCTCAAAGATGGCGCTTTGCACCACTGCAGAGAAATTTAGACAGCTATACAAATTTTGGTTTTCCATTTTCCACCAGCACACTTACTTGATGACCCTGTATCCTTTTTCGTCTGCCTCGTAATGGACGGTCCTCTTGTAGTACCCGTCGCTGTACGAGTACTTCCCCTTCACCGCCAATCCATCCCTCACCTCCTCTCTCTGATGAACGTTGCCGTTGATGTCGTCGCTGATATCGCTAGCAAATTCGTATTTTGCGTTTTGAGCTTGTTTTCGGAAAAGTTCTTCATCAATATCCTGCTCGTCTTTGGAAGGTGATGCAATCCTTGGTCTGGAAGAGGGCACGATGGCGATTTCCGGCTTTGCTTTTTGGACACGGAACACTTCTAGGTTAGGGTTTCCGGCCGTTGTCGTTTGGATCGCGAAATATTTGCTTCTTAGTGACGGCAATGTGGTAGACTCTCGTTGCGGAAAGGATTCGGTGACTTGTTGTGGAGGGCGAGGTTTTCTCCTGGAGGTTACTCTTCTTTGTTGAGGTCTTGCGGTGGTGTGCGTTAATATTTGCCGGTTGGTTTGAGGTATCGGTTGGGCGCTGGTTGTGGTGGGTTGTTGTATTAGGACGGTGGGGGGCGTTGGTCTTGATGTCGTCAGCGCTACCGGCGTTGGCGGCTGAATATGTAAAATGTTGCGTGGAATTATTCGACGGAGGGAGACGATAGAAATCTTATATCTGACCAAATTTTACTTCCTAGGTGTTAAAAATAAGCATTTCCATTTTTGTTCGGATTAAAAACGGTAAAATCGGTACCATTTAAAATTGGCATTTTTTTACTCATAGTGGGTTTAGATATATTTAAATGTTTTATTTTTTTTTAGATTTTTTTGCCATAGAATTTAGACAAAGTTGTTAATAGAATTTAATCGTTTTTTAAATAAACAAGACTTTAAACTTTTGTCTCTTAAATCGAATGCCAGATTGTTAAAAATACGAACACCTAAATAATCAGGTGATCTCGAAGTCGTCGACAGCCTAACAATAGGGAACATGGAGCTTACCACTCTGCCTTGTATGCTTCGAATGCACCTCATCAATTAACTTAAAATTCGACAAATTGTTAAAGACATACAATGACTTTTCAAAAATTAATTATGTA